AACGGTCTGCATCTGCATTCTGTTCCCTCGGCAACTGTATGAATTCAATCTTTGCAAAGTCCTTGGCTCTACGCAGAACGGCAGAACGGTATGCCCCCATCATGTCATCCTTGGTTGCGTACTCACCATTTACCTGCCGAACAATCAGCTGCGAGTCACTATACACTGTCAAACTTTTGATCTGTAGCTCTTTGGCCAACTTTAATCCATTTAGCAACGCCTCGTATTCCGCTTCATTATTGGTGGCTCGGAACTCAAGTCTGAGTGCTTGGCTCAAGGAAGTACCCTCTGGGGTTTGCAGTTTGATCCCAATCCCAGCCCCCGTCTGGTTAGAGGAGCCATCCACAAAAAGTTTCCAAGAGCCGCTTCTAAGGTCCTCTTCCGTATCTTCGGCATCACATTCTAGTAGGAAATCGGCCACCGCTTGCCCTTTAATAGCTGTTCTCGGCTCGTACGTTATGTCAAATGAACTCAACTCTATGGCCCACTTTGTCATTCTGCCCGAGAGCTCTGGCTTGTGCATGAGCGTTCTGATTGGGAAAGTTGTTAGAACAGCTATGGGGTGGGATTCAAAATAATGCCTTAACTTTCTTTTTGCATTTACAAGTGCAAGTACCACCCGTTCGGCCTTTGAGTATCTTTTTTCTGCCTCCATCAGTGTTTTGCTTACATAAAATACTGGGTATTGCACCCCTTCCTTGCAACGAATCAGAACGGCACTCGTCGCGACACCAGATACTCCAAGATATAGAAATAACTTTTCTTCCGGTTCTGGGGCTGACAGGACTGGCGGATTCTGCATATATTGCTTCAAATGAGTCAATGCCTGTCGTTGCTCATCCCCCCAGACCTGCCTTCCATGGCTCCGAATCGTGTCAAAGAATGGTTTGCAGTGGTCTGACAACTTTGAAATAAATCGACTTAATGCAGCTATTCGTCCTGTTAGGGCTTGCACCTCTCTGATCGTCTTTGGCTCGGCATTCTTAATCAAAGCCTCTGCTTGAGCGGGGCTAACTTCGATGCCCCTGCGGTTGACCACGTGTCCCAGAAACTGCCCGGAACTCACACCGAACGAGCACTTGGTCGGATTGAGCCTCATCCCATATCGCTTTAGTACATCAAATACCTCTTGCAGATGCTTCAGATGATCATCCTTTTTCCTACTTTTCACCACCATGTCATCAATATAGGCTTCGACAATCTTACCCATTTGATTCTTAAAAACTTTGCTGACAAGTCGTTGATAAGTTGCTCCCGCATTCTTTAATCCAAAAGGCATAACCTTGTAGCAGTACGTTCCTCGCTCGGTGACAAAAGAAGTTTTTTCTTCATCTGCGGGGTCCATAGGAATCTGATTATATCCTGAATATGCGTCCAGAAAGGTTAAACGCTCATACCCCGTGGTGGCATCCACCATTTGATCAATCTTAGGCAACGGGAAACTGTCCTTCGGGCAGGCTTTGTTTAAATTGGTGAAATCAATGCATACGCGCCATTTCCCATTTTTCTTCTGCACCACAACGACGTTGGACAACCACTCAGGGTAGTGCACCTCTCTGATAAATCCCGCATCAAGCAGCCTATCAACTTCTTCCGTTATGATCTGATTACGTTCTGGAGCAAATCTTCGCTGCTTCTGTTTCACTGGTTTGAAATTAGGATTGACATTCAGGGAATGACAGGAGACGGAAGGACTAATTCCAGGCATGTCGAGATGACTCCATGCAAATACGTCGACATTGTGGGATAAGAAATCCACTAGCTCTTGCTGCTCTTCTCTGGTCAGTCTTATACCCACTCTGGTAGTTCGTTCTGGCCTGGACTGATCGATCTGCACATCCAGAAGGGGCTCCTCGGTCAAGTCGGCTGACTCCTCCACCCTACTCTGCTCGAGTGGAGGTTCCTGTAATTGCTATCCGGGGCTTGTCGACCGGACGGGCGCCTTTCCCTTCCCTGCATGCTTTAGTGTGACGGAATAACACTCTTTGGCTGCGACCTGATCCCCCCGAATGTCTATCACTTTATCTCCATCGGGCCCGAGGCACCTCATGACCTGATGCAGAGTTGAGGGTACACCTCGGACTCTGTGAATCCATCCTCTTCCCATCAGGAGATTATACGAGGGGTGAATTTCCACAACCACAAAAGTTTCCATAAGAGCTCGCTCTGCAGCTTGAACTTCTACTTCCACCATCCCGACGGGTTCCACCCTCTTCCCATCGAACCCTAATAAGGGATTTCCGGTGGGCTTGAGCCTCTCTGGTTTAATGTCGAGCCTGTCAAATGTGTCCCTCGGCATAACATTCGCACTGCTCCCAGGATCGATCAGAACTCTGCGCACCAAGCACTCTGCCACTGTCAAACTGACTACCAACGGGTCGTCATGAGGCAGTTGGACACGCTGCAGGTCTGTCCAGTCGAACTTTATCTGCATTGACGGGCTCTGTTGGTGTAGAGTGGTCACATTGCCGACCCTTTTCTTCATCTGCGCCTGCCGCAGGCGCACCCGTAGCAGCTCATCTGGCTCTTCACTAGGCTCGGGTCGACCATGGATAGCATTGATTATACGAACTGGTTGCGAATTGTGGGAGCTTTGTTTATGACTCCTTTTTATTTGTTCCACTGGTCGATTCTGCTCCATCGCCGAGCCTTGAACATAACTCGCAAACTCCCCTCTAGCTATCAACATCTCCACTTGCCTCCTCAGGTTCCTGCATTCGTTAGTCTGATGTCCGAAATCAGAATGAAAAGCACAATGTTTAGTTTGATCCCTCTGTTCGAGGGGTTGTCTAATTGGCAGTGGTGGATGAAACTTGTCCTTGTTCTCCTGATATAACCTCGCCAGAGTGACCTTCAGCGGAGTAATCAACTCTTCCTCCCTGGACCTTTTTTCGGCCTTCCAAGTGGTCTGACGTTGCGGCTGAGCCTGCTTCTGCCTGATCTTTGCCTTGGACTTTTCCTCGGTCGACACAAGCGACGTTGTCCGAGCATTAGCTGCCTCCTCTTCTTCGAGGCGCACAAAGCCATCGGCTCTCTCATTGAGTTCATCCATGGTAGCTGGCGTATTCACTACCAGACTGGTGTGAAACGGAGTTCCGCGTGTCATGGCTAACTTGAAGGCTTGAACTGCCGTGGAAGGATGGCATTCGATTACCATACTCTTAGTGAGATTAAACCTGGTAAGAAAGGCCTGGAGCCGTTCATCCTTGTGTTGCCGCATCGTGAACAGGCTCGAGATGTCCTTCGGCGGGCGTTTGTTCCCATAGTACTGGCTTATGAACCGATCGCACAGGTCCCTGAAACTGCCAATGGAGCTCCTAGGCAAGTTTTTGAACCAGCTGAGCGCCGGTCCGGCCAAACTTGTAGGGAAGCATTTGCACATTAAAGAGTCGTTTTCCGTATTCAGGGCCATTTTCAACTGGATATGATACACATGATCGATCGGATCGGTTGTTCCGTCAAACAGAATAAAGACTGGCATAGCAAACTTCCTTGGATGCGGCGCATTCAAGATCTCGTCGGTGAACGGTGAATCCACCGTCCGAGCTGCGGATCGGAGAGCTTCATTCTCTCTCTGGAGTCCGGCGGTAGCTCTGTGAGTTACGGTTCTGCCCTCCGAACCGTGATGAGTGACAGTAACCATGGAGGGCCGGTAAGACGGATCGAACGACCGTTCCTCTATGAACTCTCTCTGCCAAGGCGACGCTACTCGACGGCGATCTACCTCCATCACTTCCTCTCGGTCAAACCTTTCCCGCTGCGGATCAACGTGAGTCGAGCCTTCGTGATCTTCAACTCGACGAACATTTGGCGGCGAATTGTCCATCATCCTTTCATCACGGTGGTGAGCTGACTGATTGTTCTCGTTCTGATCGCCTTGATGCGCGATACTAGATGGAACACCTCCTTCTCCGACCGGAAGCGGATGCGAGACTGCGGGTATTTGCCGATGCTGCAATCCAGCTTTCAATTCTGCATTTTCTTTTCTGAGAGCTTCAATCAAATTCATCAACTCTTCAAGCTTTGTTTGCTGGACAGCCTCCATCGGATTGGAGCTTTCACCTATCATTATTCCCGAACGGAGTAAAGGCATTAATCTCAAGTTCGCGAGTAGATCTAAGCTTCGTGAGTAGGAATTTTTAGATCTGGCTTCTAATTCTCCGAATTATGCTCACTGTTTACAAGATCTGAATTGCCTGGACTCTAAATCCGTCAGATCCTGTCACAATCGAGCAACTCGCGGTTGCGTAGATCTGAAGTCACTCCTGCCAAAGCTTCAAGAATCGTAATTCCTCCAGAGTAGGTCACAATCGCTCAGATCTGGATTCAAATCCGCAAGATCGAGTCTCGATCAACCGAATTGGTTTGAATCCATTCGATACTCCTCATTGATCAACCAAACTTTTATGCGTTTCCCACAGACGGCGCCAATTGAAGATGCAAGAAACTCCTTCTACTCTTTCTCTCTCTAGAATTCTTACACCTCAACCCGAATCAAGATCCCCCTCCTCTTCATTCCAACTCCTATTTATAGATACTTCCCAGATATTTACAAGATATTTACAAGATATTTACTAATTGCTGGACCTGGGCCTATTCCTCAGTAAGCCCTGGTCACTCTTGATGGGCTTACTCCCGCTCGGCCCATATGGCAGTGTCTTTTTATGGGCTGACCCAGCTGTTCGGACTGAAGGTTGTGTTTTGCGAGTCGGACCTGGCCCATGTCATCCAGGGCCTCCTCAGTGACCCTACTCTTCCTTGCACCAAAATCCAAATTCCTTACCATTATACAAACAAAATATGAATTTGAAAAGACAAATAATTATAAAATGCTATTTTTAGGATATTTAAGCTCTTTATTAAAATCATGTTCATTGTATCATATTGTCTCATACACCATTTTTTTTTAAATCTAATATACAATTTGTATAACTCAATTTACACTCACTTTTCGACTTTGTCTGAATTTATTACATTGCGATCGCAATTGATACGTGACTGATAGTGCAAAGTATGATTCAAATTGAAAGACTAGTGTGACAGATTCAAATTAGGACGGAATTATCCGAATGGGTCCATACTTCAGATTTGTCAAACACAACAACGGATTTATAAATAAAAAAAAAAAAAAAAAAGGCCAAAAAAAAAAGGGAAGGTAAATTACACTTATTACACACAGAACTCTCTTATTACACTGACGCCCCTTATTAAATAGAGCAAAAAAATCGACCTGTAAGATCTGGTGTGTATATATTTTGGTACGAGATGAAAATGGCTGATGTGTTTGAAGATGTAGCCAAACCCAAAGTTTCAATCCAAGAGTAGCTAAAGGATGTTGAGGAACAGGAGTTGGTAAAGCTTTTTGTTTCATTTAGCTATGTTTTCTTTCTCTGCCATTAATCATGCTAATTGTCTGTTTGGTGGCTGAGAAACGTAGGAGAAGAAAATAATTGAACTTTTGAACAGTGTTCTTCATTTAATTTAATTTTATTAGGTCACTTATAAGCTTGCACTTCACTCTAGCAAATTTTGACAATTTTGCCAAATTGTTAGTTTCCCTAATTTAAAACCCTTGCAATAATAATAAAAAAAAAAAATGCTTTGTTTTGCATCATGTTCCTGCCAATCACTCAGAGCATTTCACTTTCTGAAAGTGAAATTTTCTTCTTGAATTTAGGGTTTGTAATATTAGGGTGTTCTGAATTTTCATGAGTTGCAAGTGTTGTATTGTCCCTTATGTTTGTTCAGTCAATTATTTTCTGTGTTTCTTGATACCACTGCATTCAAATTTCAAGGAGAAAGTAATTTTGATCATTTGAGTTGGTGGTCATATGCATAATGCATTGGTTATTTATAATCATAAATTGATAATCCACCCAGCGTATCGTATGAGAATTGCAAAGGCACTTTTTTGGTGCTGCCAAAAATTGCATATCTGGAAAAACTGGACAAAGTGAATAAAGATTTGAGGATTAAATCCCCGACATTTTAATAATTTGCTGTCGTTTCCATACTAAAGTGAGAACTAAAATCACCCTTAAGGTTCTCCTTGTTTTAGTCCTGATATTCCAGAGGTGACTTGTGAAGCTCATTAACTATACCTAGACGATTCAAAAGTGAAATTATGAGAGTTTTAAGAGTTTATGTTATAGATTATGGCTCAAAACTTCTTAAGTGCAATAGTGGGCAGTTTTCTTCTGTCTTCTTGCAGAGTTGAGCCAATCCTTTATTCCTTTCTGCAACGTTGAGAATACAAAGTCACAAAACGTTATACTATACCACATTACATTGAGATTAAAAGGAGAGAGAAAAAGGGAGCCATTGCCCATACCCTTCATTTTGTGTGTTTTACTAGATATTCTCTTGTCGTCAAACACATATCATCTGTGACAGAAATAGTTATTTATTTGATATTGGGATCTTAAGTTATGGTATCATTCCGGTTCACGATTGAATGCCGGAACGAGAAATTAAAAGAAATGTTGAAAGTATTGCTTTTGTTTCTTTCATCTTTTGGACCACATAATACACTATCATAAGCAAGTTAGGTCTTTGGAAAAAGAGAGTAACATGTATGCCAATTTTTTCTTTATGACTCCATGCGTCAGTATGAACTACATATTGTACGCATTCAGTAACATGATATGAAAGATGGCATGATTCCTAAGTCTGTTATAAATCAGAAGGCTTTTTATCAAAGTTGCTAAATTTATTTTAATGCTAAGTGCCTCATTTATTTATTTTTATTTAATTATTTGTATCCAAAGGAATGCTCAAATAGAAGAGGTTATATGAAGAGGCAGGCGATCTTCTCATGCCTGACTTGCACCCTAGATGGGAATGCTGGGGTGCGCACAGCGTGTTTGCGATGATAGCCATGAGGTATCATCCAGTAAGATGAGTTAATTTGATGCCTAACTGATTAACTAATGGACATGAATTGTTAATTGAGATGTCAATCATAATTCACCGTTAAGAGTCAGCTCTCATGTTTGTTTGTTACATATGCTAATAATAACACATTTACTGGATTTATATTGTCTGCAAGAATAAGAGCTTGTGTGTTATAAGGCCATAATCCTGTAAAACTATTTAGTGTATATAGTTTGATAAAATCTTATGTGTTATGCTTTAGTGATCATTTTTTTTAGTTTCCAGTTGTATTGTTATATGGCCTTCAGATAAAATAAATCCAAGAAAATTAATATGCTTCTTGATTTGTGGGTTCACTCCCTGATGTTCCAGATACAGATCCTCCCTCTCCCTCACTCATCTTGAAGATTCCTTAGAATCTTTTTAGTTCTTTTTATGCTGACAAAATGAATTGCTTTACCTTTAGTTATTCCAAACCTATCAGAAATGCTCCCGTATTTATGCTTCGGTATGGTTTAAAAGTTGATATATAGTTCGATTAGAACAAACAAACGATGTCATAGTTTATTTCTTGGAATTTATTGCTTTACAATATTGACATTGCACGTGTCTTTTGATTATTGGAGAAGAATCATATATCTTAAAGTGCACTCCTATCTTGGCTTGATGACTACTCTTGGTCTTACTTTATTGCAGTTTTCATGTTGAAAAATCAGATTTTTTTATTATTTTTTATTTAGAAATATATTTATTTAAATTATAGTTCTGCATAACTTTTCTGTATAGTAATAGTATCCCATTTTATAAATTTTCACTTATATCTAATGATTTTGTTATCTTTTGCCTCATGGACAAGATTGTGGAAATTCAAAATTTGGGGATTTCTGCTGTAAGCTTTCCCCAAATAAAGATATAGAAAATGTGGAGAATTTATAAAACCATAACTTCAAAGGTTCATACTGCATGTGCGGTCGCCCGTATCCTGATCCAGATGTTGAGGAACAAATAGAGATGATTCAATGATGTCTATCTGAGGACTGGTTTCATGAGGTGCATATTGGTCTTGAGTCTTCTGATGAGGTTGGTAGTTTACGTTTTGGTCTGTCGCCTAGAGTAATTAATTTTTACTGTCTAGTCATTTAGTATACTTTTGTTCATTAGTTATTCCTAGGGTCATATGTCATGTAGTAAAAAGTGCGAGACTGTACAAGGGCTGCTGATTAATGCTGGTAAAATGTAAATTGATTTACCCAGTATGGGATAAACTCTTCCAGGTTTTGGGTTTGATGAGTTAACATGGAGAGAAGAAAATCAGTTGGGTTAATTGCTTTCATTTAATCTGTTTGATGGTTTGAAATGATAAAGTGAACGTGTATGTATCACCTATGTTAGTATCTGGAATAAGAGGCACATTATTTATGCATCTTTGGTAATATTACATTTATGTTGTAGGTTAGTTATTGCAAAAAATTTAGTTACATGAAATACTCTGAAAGTCTTTTGTGGTTTTTGCCTGGGCAATCAGTAAGCAACCCTTATGGCATGTGCCTCATTTGAACCCCGAGAAGGTCCTGCCCTGGTGCTTCACACCTCCAGTTTTGTCTTATAATGGAGTTTTGTCCCAGGGGTGGAGCCAATTAAGGCATAGGGGGGGCACGTGCCCCCCTGGCTTAGTTCCGCCCAATAGAACATATATATAGTTAATTTGTAAATTTTTTTCAGTTTATATGAAAAATTATATATTGTGCCCCCCTAAATTTTTAATTTTTAAAATTATCTTAACTTTTTCTTTCTTTTGTTCTTTAAATTCCTTAAATTTCTTTAAAAAAAAGTCAAGTTTTCCTTTTTGAATCATACTCTAATTTTTTTCCTTTCAAATATATCTTAATTTTCTTTCTTTTTTCTTCTTAAAATTCTACTTTTTGCATCTTATATCAATGTTAGTCGAATTTGGAATTTTTTTTTTTTTTTTTTAAATTGTGCCCCCTCTGAATTGAAATCGTGGCTCCGCCCCTGATCCAAACATCTGCTGAAAATTGGCAAGTATAAGGTTGAAAATAAAAATCAGCTTATTTATGTCAAATTTATGTGTATTATGTAACTTTCTGATTCACACGTATATTTATTTTAGTCTAAGTAGCACAAATATGGATAAATGACAAAAAATATTGTGAAAGGGGAAGTAGGAAGGATAGAAGATACATCTCTAGGGAAGGGAGGGAGGGTCCCCATCTTTCCTTTTCTTTGGTCAAGCCGAAGGGCGCGAAAAAGATATTATTATTTAGACATTATGCACTTAATATTTTAAATTAATACACTGGTTGATAAAATCCTTTTGACTTTATCCAAAAAATATTGATTCTAACTCTCTCCTCTCTTTCTCCCACTTCTGGATGAAAGCAAAATGGTGGGCCCGGGGGATTCTTCATCCCTCCTCTAATCCTCCACCTATTACTATCCCTTCTACCAAACAATGGAAGCTTGCTCCATTCCTCCTCTCTTCGTCCCTTCCCTTCCTTCCCTTCAACTAAACATAGGCAAAATCCTAAGAGTGCAACACATACATGGTGATCTTATAGCAATAAATATTCAAGCTTCAGTATGTATACATCTATTATATAAAATAAATATATAATTTAATTATTCTTCTTTATTCCTAGAATAAAAATTGAGTGATATGGCCTATGAAAGTTGAAAAATATCAGAAAGATTATTATATTACATGTATTACTATCTTAATTACCACATTTTTATCCTTATAATTATATTAATATTATATGTTTATATATTAAAATGTCCATTTCATCATTTGTAATGGCATGTTTACGATTTCAATTTCTTTTATCTTTCAAAATAAAGCTTGGAGAGTTCATGGTGTGTTCGTCTTGTTTCCAATAGGGTTAAACATGGCTCTTATTAAGATGAGCGTGTGATACGCAAGTTGTGGAGTCATTGAGATGTAATCAACAAGTGTCCAAAATAACTGAATTTTCTTTTACTATGGACATATCCACGAGGAGTTGGAGATGTGTCTAGGACTAGGAAGCATGATTATGTCACCTTCAATAGAATTTTCCTACTACATAGATTCTAATGGTCCAAGATCTGTTGAGAGGCTCTGTTTCGTGTTGGATTTACATCCTTAAAAGGATCTGGTACAGGATTCTGTATTGTAGGCAATTTCTGATGTATAATTATATCTATTTAATTCAGATTCAAAAATCTGTACATTTTACATGAAATTATTTCTTTGAAATGATACTTCTTTTACCTTTTCTTGTCTTCTTTTTTTTATTATATATATATTTTTAGTAGTTTATGTAATTATTTCATTTCTTTTAATCTGACCCTTTTTATAATTGAGATCTATATCCGGTCCATTTGTCTGTGCCATAGATTCCACGAAATGACGAAGGAGAGCTTCGTATGAGGATTTCTTCTGCCAGGCGTCCAGAGTAGTTTGTTCTTTCTTGACCATTTATCATCAAACCATTTAGGCAGTGGTTAGGCAGCATCATGCTACAAATACAACCAAAGAAAAAGGTGGGTTGGAAGATAATCCTTCGGCTTGTGAATCCTTGGGGAAGCCTGAGAATGGCATTTGTTCTCTCGACTCTTCTCCCAAATTGGACTGCGCTGAAACTGGTGCTAATTCTGAAGCTGTGTGCAAGGAAAAGGGTGCACTTGTAGAACATGCTGAGAAAGATATGGTATCCAAGCCTCCAAGGTGGCAGTCCAAGTGCGATATGTGTCCTTGGACTTGGTGTTAATCTGGTTGTAGCTACCCCTGTTTTAGAAAAGAGTAAATCAAATGTTTCTTTCAAAAAATTGGTGAGACATTCTTTGCGGATGTGAGCAATGTGCAGATTTCTACAAGCAGAAGAAAATTGGTTTTTTTGCTCGACAGAGAGGACTGACTCAGTTGTGGAGTATGAGAAAATGGCAAAGCAGAGAAGGGACGAAAAATTGCAGCAACAAGAGGGTGTCGAGTTAAACTTTCTCAACAAACTTGGCCACGTAGAGGAAATGGAGGTTCTGAAATGGCATTGCTGACATGAAGAATGAGATTGATCATGCTTTCCTGGTATGTCCTTGGTATTTGAAAGTTCAGTGCTTGATTAGCATCTCCCACACTACTTTTATTGCAGAAAGATACAGACAACAATATATATATATATATAGACACACACACGCGCGCGCGTGTGTGAGTGTGCATAGTTAGATGTTTGAAATTTAAAATATTTACGTATCTATGTATAAATTTAAAATAATAATTATTTGCCAATGTTGTCTGCATGTATCAACTCTAAATTCCTCTTCAAATCTCATTGTCGTCAAACAATGAATCCATTTTTCTTATCATAGTTAATGTACTACATAAAGAAATCACGTTAACAGGAACTATCATATTTCCTATTTATATTGATAATTTGGCAATAGGTACTAGAAATATAAATTTTTTAAGCCCCTCGAGTACAGATATAGCATCATATTAGTCCCAATAAGCCGGTGTTATATAAGTGCCAGAGAAGGTATTGTCTCTCTCTTGACGTTTAACTAGTGATGTTATGGTAATTATTTAATTCAAATCACATGATCTCATGCAGGCTTCAATTAACAATTAATTTAGTCTATTTTATACAACATATATGATTAATTAATTAACCCATAGCCCTAACCTACACTATAACATCAAACACTTTGAAAATTATGCCACCTTTGCATAATTCCTACTTTCCAAATACATCACGATATCTCTTTTTCTTGAATGTCCTTTTCTTCACCGTCACACGCAATATAATATGTAATGATTTAACAGCTTTATTGTAATTTTTTTAACACGGGGTTTGACTCGCTACAGTGCTAAACAAAATTACAGAGTTACTTTTTTACCCATTCACAGCTGAGCAACATACACACGTCTATGCATACAAAAAAATATGTCTATATGTTTTGTTGAAGTGTAGACCAAGATATTTTATACCATGAGCGAAATGGGAAAGATGTAATAGAAATTGTGAACACCCTATCAAGGTTGTCTATAAGAAATTCTAAAGACATTAAAGGGCATTCTCATTTATGCATTTATACAAGTCTGTGTTGATGCATTAAACGATGTTAAAAGGGCAGTTTAGTACACGAAACTCCCGTCACCGCTGAATTTGAAGAGTTTTGTTGCGTCGGATGAATGTAACTTACCTTGCATTTGAGAGGATGTTTCTGTTTCGATTCATGAACAGTGTTTATGAAGCATAAAAGCATTGACTTCTCAGTTGGACTAGCCAATGCTTAAAAATCATAAACTAAGTACCTCTATTTTGTTTTCTTATTCAGCTCTTTATTGAAGAAAACATACCAACTGTAGGAATTGTGGGGTTTTTAATTTTAGAAAATCCGTGCCCAAATGAGCCTATAAAAAGTATAATTCCATTGGCACGACCAAATACCTCGGAAAAAAGGGCATGTTTTTAGTCCTTGGAATCAAATGAATACGTTACTCTCCTTTTTCTTCTTCTCCTTCTTTACACACACAGCTTTATGTGCCCAAATTTGCTCACCATCCCTCTGTGGCGACTCCGAGCCGTTAGTCCACTTCCCTTTCCGGCTATTCGGCCGGCAATCCTTCCATTGTGGCTACCCCGGTTTCGCCCTTTCATGCAACAACCATAACCAAACAGTTCTAAACCTACCTTCCTCCGGTGAATTCATCGTGAAAAGTATTGACTACGCCTCACAATCCATATATATCAGTGATCCCGATGGTTGCCTACCCAAAAGGATGGAAGAATCCTTCAGTCTTTCGGATTCTCCTTTCTCTGCTTCTCACACCAACCTCATGTTCATCAACTGTACTTTAGCAGACTGGTATAAGTACATAATGTATCAGGGCGTGCTCGTGCCTTGTCTTAGCAGCAATAACTACAGGGTTGTAGCTGTGGATGCTTCTGCTCCAGGCGGGTACGTGCCACCAACCTGCCGGAGTTGGAGGGTCGGGTTTTATGGGTACTACTGGGGCACCATGGATGGTATTGGTACAGCAGATATTCAGCTTCATTGGGATGTGCCCTCATGTAAATCTTGTGTGCTTGAAGGTGGGACTTGTGGGTTTGAAAGTAATACAGAGATGACGATTGGTTGCTCTGGTCTTCCTACACAAAGCAACGGTGAGTTAAAAGTTTCGTATATTGTTTGAACAACTCTACAACTAAGGGCCTGTTTGGCAACCGAAAACATTTTAGGTTTCTATTTTCATTCGAAACAGGCACAATGTTTTTGTTTTGAATTGTGTTCAATAATGACTAGATGCATGTTGAAAACATGAAAACATATTTAGTCAAAAAAAAAAAACACACACAAAACAAAATCGATTGCCAAACAGAATCTAATTAAATCTTGACATGTAAGTTTAGCTGGTTATACATCATCATCCAACTTAAGTCACATTTATGTTCAATCAATTTTGTTGCTTGGCATTCCATTTAATAAATAAATAAATTCCGATGAGAGATATTTCTGATGATTCGGTGAGAACTTAAACTATATAATGGTAAAATTATAGTATAGAAATGGTCTTTTTTCCCTTCAAAAAGATGAATTTCTATCTACTCCGTTGACTCCTTGGAAAATACTTGTCCAAGAAAATACACGTAAGAGTATTGGGAGGGATATCTAGAAGTATCATAATCTTTATAATATTTTACACAAATTCATTATTTTTGTCAATTTTTTTTTTTTTAATTATTTTTTTTTATCATAGATGTAATATTGATATATTTTTTAATAGCACTAGCAAGACCAATATTATGATTAGATTAATGCTCAACCTACCTTGACATTAGTGAGGTTACTTCTAGGTGGTTGGAGAGTCCAAATCAAGCTCAATAATCTCCCTTCCATTTATGTGATTATAGCTCTTCATAATTCGAAAGATGTGGAATGAAACTTATGTTAGGTGGCATAGGTTGCAGTGGATTCACGTCTCCACTCATATAATCTTTTGTATAACTCATATAATCTTTTGTATATATAACTTTCTGTATATATCATTCGAATTCGAAAGATGTATTTAAGATGTATTTTTTTTAATATGAAATCTCGACTATCCTTAGTAATTATTGAATTTTCAATTTCATATAATTAGGTCTTCCAAGGAGTGCCAAATATGGTTTAATCTTGGGTGTTGGAATACCTGGGCTTTTAACCTTCATTGGACTTGCATGTTACATTGGTGGCCGGACCAGAGCTCATAGTCAACGAGGCCCACTAAGGTCCGGAACCGAACTCTTTACCGTCACCGCCACTCCTGGGTCAGCTCGTGTTGCATCGGGCCTCGATGGGCCAACCATAGAATCTTATCCGAAGACTGTGCTTGGTGAGAGCCGGAGGCTACCCAACCCACAAGATGGGACTTGCCCAATATGTCTGTCGGAGTACCAGCCCAAAGACACCTTGAGGTCCATACCGGAATGCAATCACTATTTTCATGCTACTTGCATAGATGAGTGGCTAGGGATGAATTCCACGTGTCCTCTGTGCCGAAATTCACCTGATGGATCATCCTGATGTTGCGTTTAAGAGCACTGAATCGGCTTCAAGGTGTCAATTTGTCACTCCCGTTCTCAAATACAGTTTGTCCTCTAAATCTCGTCATATGTACATGGTATATATTTTGTATGTTCGGGGATGGAACCAGAAAATAAGGTGAGGGGGGCAATACTGAATTTTTAAAATAATTTTGCCCCGCTGGGCGGAGGGAGGTAATAATGAATTTTTTAAATAATTTCGCCTTCGCCGGGGGGGGGGGGTTTGATGTTACGTTTAAGAGCACTGAATCGGCTTCAAGGCGTCAATTTGCCACTCCCGCTCCCAAATACAGTTTGTGCTCTGAAACCCGTTATATATACATGGTATATATTGTATGTTCAAGGACGGAGTCAGAAAATAAGGTGATGGGGCAATAATGAATATTTTTAATAATTTCGGGGGTTGGGAAGGGGAGGGGAATAGTAATATTTTATGGGTGCTTAATTGAAAAAATTAAATTAATTAGGGTAAGTAAAAATATATATATATTCAGGTGGCAATTGCGCCCACTGAACTATATATAATATGTTAGAGTGAAATTGATCAAATACATTTGTCATCCTCTAAACTTTGATGAAAATCTATATGTTACCATTTATGCATTTTCTATTTAACTTCTTTCAAATTCGAAAAATATATAATTTATACAAAGTATGTGATTAATTAATTAAACCATAGCCCTAAACTACTCTATGACATCAAACACTATTAATATTATTATGCTAGCTTTTCATAATTCCAAACTTCCGAATACATCGTGATCACTCTCTCTTTTTCTTGGATGTCCTTAGCAGCAACATTCGTTGTTTCTATGTGGATTTGACTTGATACAGTGCTAAACAAAAACACAGAGTTACTTTTTTACCCCTTCATCACTGGGCAACATGCACAGATGTATATGCATATAAATATATATGCCTATATGTTTTGTTGAAGCTGTCCAGAGTAAGATATTTTATACAATGAAAAAAAATGAAAAATATATGCGTGTGTGTGTGTGTGTGTGTGTATATAGTATTGTAATTGTTATCATCCTATCAAGGTTGTCTATAAGCATTTCTAAACAGGTTTTAAAGGGCAGTCAAGTATTGATACAAGTCTGTTGATGCATGTGTTAAAATGACAATTTAGTACACAAAACTTCGGTCACAACTGAATTTGAAGAGTTTTATGAATGTAATTTACATTGCATGTGAGAGGATGTTACAGGTTCGAATAATGCTATATAGGCCAATTACTTTAATCTATTTTTCTAATTGAGTTTTCTTTTTATTCATTTAATAAATAAATTCAAATGTAGGTCTCATCCATACTATCAAACGAAAGACTTGTCAAACAAGTTTGAAGAATTATTTTCTTTCTCATTCAATTCATGAACAGTGTTTTTTATGAAGCCGCCACCAGTACTACAAGTCAAAACGTCCATTTAACATTGTATGACAAAAAATTCATGACTTAAATTACTATAGTACCCTTATTTTGTTTTCTTATTTGAGCTCCTTATTGAAGAAAACACACCAACTGTAGGAATTGTGAGGATTTTAATTTCAGAAAATCCTTGCCCAAATGAGCCTATAAAGGGGTACATAAACCCCACTGGCACGCCAAACACACCTTAATATCATGGGTTAATTACATTGACACAATATTACATAAAAATATCTTTTGAAAATAATTATCACTCATATTATAAATATTTGATCCGTTTTTATTTCCACCCCAAAAGTTATTTGTTAGATGTATTAGACTACTTTTTACATGTAAAAAGTCATTGTTATCCCCTTTGACTTTATGTTGACTTACAAAAAAACTTGTCTCATACATAAAATGACTTAATTACCCTCATAGAACCATGTTAACCCAAATAGCCATCGGAATATCTATAGATATAAATATAGATATGCTTGCTTATCCTCTGTATATACCAAACTGAATGCACCATGGCTCTGTATTTATACAACATGCTATATATATATATATATATATATATATATATATATATATCTACTAGATAAAGCAGGTGTAGGTGCAAAATTTCGCTCAACTAATAATGATTGAGAAAAATAAAACAACTCACTAAAAAACAATAAGAATAAATAAGAACAATGTATAGAGAAGCGTAGAATTACTTGATTCTTTTATTGGAGGTCTGGGCCTCTATTTATACACAAAAGATTAGTTGAATTATGGTAGGACTCGCATCGCTTGTCCTCCAATTCTTTCCTTATAGAAATTCTTTACAAATAGAGCTCATTCCTTTGTATAATTTTCATTGTGTAGTAGTTTCTTTCTTTGCTGTATCCTTCTTCTAATATGACTAATTTCCTTATAATGGATTTGGGCTATAAGTAACCTGATCCATGTGACATTGCTAACGGGCTGGATCTCTTGTTTCAGGCTTGAGCAATGTTACAGAGATCAATTATCTGCGACCTTCGGTTAGTGTCTTATGACTTTGGGCTGTCAACGAGCTTGGACTGGGCCTTGAGCAGGATGGGCCTCTGACATTTGTGATGGGTATTTATATTGCGATGATGTGTACAGTTCTCATTGGAGGGAGATTTTTCCCTCTTTAATTGGATTGCGGCTCCTATTAAAAAGGGAATTGAAGTTGCACGGTTGTCTATTTTACAAAAAGACGGTTCGAAGATTGCCCATTGCCATTCTGCCTTAAAAGATTCCATAAGGGTTACTTTTTGTGATACCCCTCGATTCTAGAGCCACGGGTGATCAAGTCCGAGCACAGATCCGAGGGATATCAGACAATTAATATATAAACAAGCAAGAATAAAACTGAATTAATAATAAAATAATGATACGCTGAAAAGAATTCTAATTGTAAAACCTCCAAAATAAAAGTTTTAATATAAATAAACTTTCCAATCCGTACAACTCGGGAATCCATCTAGTGGACCCCTAATATTTCCAACTGGTAAAACATTTACAGAATTAAAATCCAAAACCAAAATAAGAAAGAAAATCCTATGTAGCCGGAAGAGTGAGTGACTGTATCTGCATCACCACGATCAAACCCTAAGCCTGGTACTCACGAACACCTGAAAAATAAAGGTGGGTCAGGCCCACATGCAAGTTCCATCCTACTACAATCCGTACATAAACCCGATACGCAGATACATCCTAGATAGCTCGACAATAACTACAATAGTCCATAGATATATATATACACACTATAGGATGCTCACTAGCCTATAACATAGTTCAGCCTGGGTAGAAGGTGACATATAAAACACGCTTTTCAGCGGCCAAGTACCTAGACCCACCAGGGAACATTAGCTATATCTAGCTACTCAACCTTTGCAATATACGCACCCTAACCGTGATCAGGAGACTCAAGCTCGTATCACAGTACCATAAATATATATATAAATTCCTTCCTAATGCCGAAAGATAAAACAAGCATCCATTATGTCGTTCAACTGTTTTAGTTGACAAGACATGTATCCATGTAGGAGTTAACTATTTTAGTTAATCCATTCCGTATGTAAGAAGGGGTAGGACTTAGCTTTTTGATCTAATCCATCCCTGATATGTCACCGTCCCATACCGGTACATATAATGCAAATGATCCATAAACGATGCACATTCATTAGAACATCAAATAAATCCAGAAACCAGCACAATAGAAAACAGATATTATTAAGATCCTACTATGCATCCAGTATATGATTATAATCATTAATCCTCCAAATAAATTGTTAAAGTATTGATAAACAATTTATATTATCCACATCTATACAATTGATAAAACAGAAGTTAAACAGTTCATCAATTAACATCCATAACCTGTTATAATGATCAGTCAGAAATATGAACTAAATACATTATACTAGATATCCCAAACCATCCTCTCATACCATATTATTTAAATTGCCAAAACAAAGACAAGTAATGAAATCCTCCATAAATCCTTAACAGCATAAAAGTTAGCATTTACACCACATGACGTCCCTTTGATCCTCCACTCCAAAACCTGTGCCTGATATAATATGACACTCTGAATTCCAAACTGCTCATTATATGAAACCCCAACAGTATTCCCACACTAGTCCATTTAGTTCGCTAAACCAAAACTAGCAACTAAAATTCCTACCACTCCTGACAGCATACCATTTAATATTTAAGTTAATACTGTCTATGCCCATATCCCACACCGAACTTCCTGGCCTCCATTAAAGTATATAAATAATTTATATAATATCCCAAAAGTAATTCGATACCAGTCAGTTTAAGTTATTAAAACAAATTTATTAACTTAAACATTCATCCTTCCTTGACAGCATGCCTATTCCACGTTTCTGTTTCCTGATGCCCCTTAAGATTAGCACCCTAGCATAACCAACTATTTAAGGGTCTTAATAGGTTAATTTTAACATATTTGAAACCCCCTTTAATTTTTAGTATTTGCGTTTAACCCCAGAACTCCGAAAAATTTGCAGAAAACACCCCGTAGGGGTTTTTTTTCCATGGGAGCCGGCTCCCCTTTATTGGAGCCGGCTCCTAGGCTTCTAGAGCCGGCTCTCCCTCATGGAGAGCCGGCTCTCTCTTCATGGGAGCCGGCTCCCACCATTCGGGAGCCGGCTCTCACCCCTGAGAGCCCCTCTCTGCTTCACTGCTTCGTTTCTGCTTCGTCCGGTTGTCGTCTGCTCTTCCGGCGAAGCCCAATGTCCTATCCCAAATCTTTTTAACATTCCTAGGGTTCTATTCAAGTTCCTAAAGTCCGAGAAACCCTACATATTCCAATATGCATTTATTAACAAAGCTTCAACTGAAACAATTTTCTTTTCCTCTGTTTATCTTCTTCGCTTCCGGCGAAGACCACTCCTCTGCTCCAAGTTTCCTTAAAGTTCTTAAGGTTCAATACAAGTCCCAACAATCATAGAAACTTTTTAAATTCTATTATGAACTTGATTGACAGAAGTTTATATAAAAAAACACACAGTTTGAGAAAAACCCAATCTCAGTTTTTTTTTTGAACGTAAAACAGGTTACAGTCTAATATAACCTGCATCAACTATTAGTTTTAAAGGTTGAATTAATCCCTGGAGACTATATAGAATGCACAGAACACAAGTTTATAGGAAGGAGACAGAATGAAACTTGCCTTAAGATTCCGGTTTGAAACCTTCTATCGCCGTTACTAAATTCTGCAACGAACTGTAGACTACCTGCAACTCTCCCACTGTTCCAGTTTTATTCCACAAGCCATCGACTCTTTCTTCCTTGATCCCACCTGCAATTCATGGCTGCAATCCTAATTGATTCTCTCAATCTCCTTCTGTTTTTCCTTCTCAAGGAACCTCTCTGTTTTTCCTCTCATAAACCCTTACGTGAATTGAGTTTTAATTTCCTCACCCTAGCAGACGTATAA